ATAAATTTATAACTCCACATTCACTTACGTAATTGTTATATAAAATCAATTTCAGTTGTTTTTCTTTAGCAGAAAAACATGGGAAAGGACTCATTTGTATTTGGAATTTACTTGGTAAAGTTGACAGAAAAAAATTAGAAATTGTGACAGGCAGAATAATGCCCCTCCCCGCCCCAAAATTGAGCCCTAATGCCTAGAGTGTGTGAGTCTGTTACCTTAGATGGGAAATGTGAATTAAGATTGCAGGTGGAATTAAGGTTACTAATCAGCTGACCTTAAAATAGAGAGATTATCTTGGATTTTCTGGGTGGGCTCAATGCAATCACAAAGGTCTTTAAAAGCAGGAGGGGTGGGAACATCAGAGGGATGTGATGTGATTACCTCCACCACTGCGGGCTTTGGAGACAGAGGAAGGAGCTACAAGCCAAAGAATGCAAGTGGCCTCTCGAAGCTAAAAAAAGGCAAAGAACTGGATTCTCCCCTAGAGCTTTCAAAGGAACACAACCCTGCTCACGCTTTGTTTTCAGCCCAGGGAGACCCACGTCAAACTTCTGACGTCCAGAACTGTTTAACACAACAGATCTGTGCTGTTCTAAGCCACTGTGTTGGTGACCGTAGTTGTTACTGCAGCCACAGAAAACCAATGTAGAAACATGACCACGTTCTCCCTTCTAGAGGGGCAGCCACACTGTCTCTTTTCTAGGCTGGAGAATTTTATTCGTGTGTGAAATTTCAATCGTGCAAACACGAGCCACCGTCACTTGGGTGTATTTCTGGCATTATTTTTTAAACAAGTCCATAATATATTCTAAGTATTCCCATCAAAATGGGAGGTGCCTATAAATTAAATTAGATTTAATCTTTCAATTTCCAGCTCTTTTGCAAGAAGCAAAACAGGAAAGAAAAAAAAAAGATCTGAGCGCCTAGAAGTGTGCTGAGTGTTGAAATCAGTGAGATGTGCAGTTTCTGCTTTTCCCAGCCGGCACGGCGGGTGAGCCGCAGGACCAGGGGTTCGTACCCGCGAATGAGATGAGACCCAAGTTGTGAGGGAAACAGGAGGTCCCCAGAGAAGTGCGTTATTTTACAAGTACATTCTCCCTCTGCTTGCTTCCCTGCTTCCCTGGTTTGCAGGGAACCTGAGCTCCCTGCGTGTTCCAGCTAGCTTAGACGCTCTGACCCAGCCAAGTGACTCAGTGCCTGGACCACTACCAACGTTTTCCGGATTGAATCCTGCTCTCATTTTCTAAGGAACAATGTTGAACTGGCCTCCGTGGCACCGTGTCAACTGACATCACCCTTTAATTGCAGGTATGTCACGTTAGACAAGCACTGAGATTGAGGACGAGTGAAACAATAGGATGGGGGCTGTTGTGTGTTTTCCATATTCCCTGCCAAGGGGAAGGGCCACGCCATGAGGTTATGTATGTACAGTTCAAGTCCTCTCAATCTGACCCTGAAAATGCGAGAGCAGGGTAAGTCACATTTATCTACCGACTATAGGACAAGCCCGTGTGACAGTGTCTCTGAAATGCACCTTTTTCTGCTCTCATTTCATTTAGACAACTCCCAGGAATCAAAACATAGCAAGTTCACATCAGCTCACACCAAAAGCATCTTCATTTTCCCTTGTGATTACTAATGTATATGCAATGAATTATGGGGCTCAAAATAAGCTACTGCTTATGGGTTTTGAAAGCAGAAAGATTTCATCTGCACGGATGCTGATGAAATCATGAGCCCAGTGGCCTCTGAGTTAGCAAGATCCCGTGAAGGAGATCCTGCTTGAGCTTGTTTTCGGTACCGGGAGGTCAGGGGCAGATATGAAAAGAATTGACCTTTGTATGGGTCCTTTCTACAACTGTCCATCCAGTGGTGATCTCACACACAAGTCATCGCTTGGCTTCAAATAGAACACTCACTTCTTAACATAAAGAGCAAGAGCGAGCTTGATGAGCTTATAAAGGTGAAAGCCAGCGAGCTCTTCCCCACCTGTGAGAACTGAGACTGAGGACTCACCTGAGGACCCCTGGGAGGGTCACGTGAGGCTCTTCATTTCCTGGGAGGTGAAGGTGGCTGGCCTGCAGCAGCCTCGATGGAGGTCTGGGGAGGAAAGCACAAAGGGAACACTTTCCCAGAGCTGTGGAGGTCTTCGGGTTTTCCTGAAAAGAGAATGTAGTTCTCTGGGTGATGGGGAGCAGACTTCCCTCTTTTCTGGGTACCTATGTAGAAGAATATGGGGCAGCAACCAGCTCTAAGTAGAAAACCAAGATGGGGAAACCAAGAAAGCAGGGTTTATGAAAAAGACATGGAATTGGTGCAACGATCAGAATCAGACAGCATGATGACAGAGCAGAAAATATCTATTTAAGAGGGTTCTTCAAAATGTGTACAGTATGTGTCGGACTAATTTCATATGGGCCCTTTGCTGTGGGATTTCTTTTCTCAGTCCTATTCTGATGCCTATGTGTGAGCCCTTTGAATTTTAAGGGTGCTATGGACTGACTGCTGGTGCCTCCCCTCCCCCAAAATTCGTATCTTGAAACCCAGTCCCCAATGTGATGGCATTTGGAGGTGGGGACTTTAGGAGGTGATTGGGTCATGAGGGTGGAGACCTCATGAAAGGAGTCTGTGCCCTTTTAAAAGAGACCCCAGAAAGCCCCCTTTCCCCTTCCTCGTGAAAGCCAAGAAGAGGCTCTTACCAGACACCAAGTCTGCTGCCTCATTGATTTTCAGACTTCCCACATCCAGAACCGTGAGAAATAAATATTTGCTGTTTAAGCTGCCCCATATCGGTACTTCTGTTGTAGCAGCCCCCATGCACTAAGAGCAAGGGCTTTATCTTCTGTTCCTGAACGTGACTAGAGAGCTCCCTCCGATTCCCCAGGGGGCCCGCTCCAGTCAGGCACAGCTTTGTCAAGGAAAAGAGGGAGGTGGCCAGAGATAGATTAAGCATGGAGAGGGCAGGGACAATGATGGCCTGAATAAGGCTGCAGAAGGAATGGCAGTTGAGCAGGGATCCCATAAACCATTAGCAATGGTGGCTTTAAAACAGGGAAAGTGGCCTTTGTCTGTATCATCCTGTTTGTCAGTATCATCCTCACCACGTGGGGTGGGTCTCCTCCTCACAGGTGAAGCTGACCGGGTACCCTGGACATCACGTGCCAGGGAGCTCGCCACTCGAAGTCTCCGACAGATAAATCACTGTCCTTTCATTATACTAACACTCGGTTCCAGGCACTTGCCAGGTTTTATTTCATTACCACCTCTCTGACATGTTCTTTAAAAGAAGCCCCCCCAGGCCCCAGGAATTTGGCCAGCACTCTCCTGGATGACCTGGCTTTGCATCTGTCTGCAAAGGTACTACCGAAGGCGAGTGTGTATATTGTTTGAGCTAGGGCTGGACTGGAAAAAGTGTTCAGTACTTTGCCACTTAAGATGATTTCAGATTCTCAAGGCAAAATGAGATATCAAGGCTGAGAGAATGACCTTCGTACAGTTCAGATAAATTGGTGAAGAGAAAAAGAATCAGAATCCCCCCCGATTTAGCTGCGTTTAGTTTTCTATCATCTTGCTGTTTCCCTTGAGCTTAGGCGTGTTCTAGAAGAGTTTTCAAAGTGTGGTCCTTGGGGATCTTACCAGGTCAAGGCCTTGGGGAGGGGGGTGGTAGGCTTCACAAATCCAAACACAGACAACACCCTCCAGGAACACCCCTCGCAGGACAGTTTAAAAATCGCTTTCAGGAAGATCCGGTCTTCAACTGTCTGGTCCCGAGGTCCCTCCCTCCCTCCCTCCCTCCTGCCCTCTTTCTCCTTCTCTCTCCTTCCTCTTCTCTCCCTGCCCCCTGACTTTCGTTTCTTTCATGCTTTTTCTCTCTTTTCTCTCACATTTTCTGCCAAAGCTTACTCTTGTCCACGTGCCAGTGAGAATTCAATCACGTGTAGTTAGGTAGTTAGGTTTAATTACACAAAGGGAAAAAAAATGTATTCGCCAGACTTTTTTTTTCAGGAAGAACAAGATATTTCTTTAGAAAACGTCCCTGTCTAGTAGGAGGGATACAAGCTGAGGCCTTCAGGGACCTCGATTTGAACAGCAGGGCTCTGCAGGGGGCAGAGGGAGGAATGTGTGGATGGCTCCTCAGCAGAGGAGGGGAGATAAGGGAGGAAGAGAACCGGTAAGGGGGGGCGGGTGGGGGAGGGGAGCTTGCAAACCACTCCTTGGCCACTCCCAGCACTTCCCCCACATGTGTATAAAGTGGACCCAAAGGCTCATACAATTCCCGGGAGTGGCGTTTTTGAGCTGATACTGAAAGATGAATTCTGTATCTAGGCCGATGCCAGAGAGAACCAGAGAATCTACGAAACCAGAGAAGCGTAAGGCAATAAACCTCAGGAACTCAGAGATTTCTGGAAATCCTGGGGCGGGTCTGAGACGGCTGGGCACAAGCCATACAGCTGGGGCTGGAACCAAGTTTCAAGATCTCTTAGGGAAGAGAGTCACTGTATCATTTATCAGAAGATCAGGACACCTTTGAGAGTTAAAGGGAAACATCTGAAATGTGCGGGACGACAGGCCTCCGCCAGGGAAGTGGTCGTCCTACCCAGAGTGGCTGCTGGTGTCTGGAGTTTACAGGAAAGAGAGGGTGCGTTGTGGGGGATGCACAGGAGGCTCCCCCCAAACTGGGCTCGGGCTGCTAGAGGACAGAGGAGAAGTGAAAGAAAGTTGACAGCAGCTGGAGGAGCAGCTCAGGAAATGAATCAGAGACGCCTTCATTTCTGAGATCAGTTTTGGTGATCAGATCAGGTAACAGATGAGTAGATGCCGTTTTTATAGAGGAGTTTGAGATGCTCAGGTATAGATCTGACACTGGTAAAAGAAATTGAAAAAAGGAATAAAGGAAAGAAGGGAGATAGGGAAAAGGATAGAGGGAAGGGAGGAAGGAAGGAAGGGAGGAAGGAGGGAGGGAGGAAGGAAAAAAGGAGAGAAAGAGGAAAGGAAGGAGGGAGGGAAGAAAGAAGGAAGGAGGGAGGAAAGGAGGGAGGGAGGAGGGAGGGAGGGAGGGAGTCTGAAGCTGTCTGTTCCTAGCTGCCTTCCTCAATGACTAATGATGGTAGAATTCAAAACTCTGCCTTGAAGCATGCATCACAGAACTCAGGGGTGGTTGACAAACAACACTCAACTGAATGGCAGGCGATGTGAGTCCATGGAAAGACGAAGCTCCGCAATCAGACAAATCTGCTCTGCAGTCCCACGGCGACGAGATGTGAGCACAGCAGACTTGGCTGTGTGGAGGGAGAGTTTCTAAGGGGTTACAGTTTCCAATACTGTCTTCTCCCTTAGTTTTCTATCACACATCCATTAAAAAATTGGGGGGAAAAAGTGTCTATTTAAACTGTTAATTGCATCATGTAAAGACAGTTGACGACATCAAAACAAAATTTGCAAGACTTCCTTGGGATGGCTTGACTTCAAAGGTAAGTTATAAGGCACTTATAGATCTCAATGTGGGGGCTGCAGTGGTTCCTAAGAAGGGGACAGTTGCTGAAACTGAATGGTGGCTTGTCCTTGTTAAGATAAGTGTGTTTCTGTTAAAGGGTGTGAAACAGAAGATGGCTGAGTGCATGTTTGTCTCATCTTGAGGGAGCCACGGTGAAAACTGAACCTGGGCAAAGCCCACCCTAAACCATTCTGTCGACAGCTTATGAGAACAGTTACGACTGCTCAGCGGCTTGGGCTTGGGGAATTGTCTGGGTGTCGGACAACTGCATTCTGAGCACCTGTCTGGGGTTATGTGAGGGGGGTGGGTTGGAAGGATGGGGGTGGAGATGTGTGCTTTTGAAGAGAATGGAGATCCCCACTGGCCGCCATCCTGGGATGAGGTCAACACAGGACAGAGATGGAAGGGTGTTCTTCAACCCGAGTCCATGGAAGGCAGTTTCTCTCCTGGGGGTTCCGAGGCCATCAGGCATAGACACTGGGACTGAGCCACGCCTGAGGTCCTTCCCTGCGGGGAGAAGCGGCTCTCCCAGCAGAGAGGGGTTTAGGATGCACAAGGCAAGGCGTTCCTGCAGAGGCCTTATGAGGCAGGGCTATGCCTGGGGCTCCAAGTAGAGTCACATTCAGTTGCAATTGATCGATCCTTGTTTCATTTCATTTACAGACAAAACCGCAGCCAGCTCTTCCTCAGAGCAAAACAAAGCAACAGTAGCAACAGTAATGATGGTGACAAGGTTCTCACTGTGTGAGGAGGGGACTTGGAAGACAAGAGAGGGCAGCATCCCAGAGCCTGACCTCAGAGGCCAGCCTTGTGCATCCCATCAGCATGTGCCTGATGAGGCTGGACAGAGGCCGTGGGGAAGCAGGAGAGAAGGGAGGCGGAGACAGGGGCCAAGGCAGATGCTGATGGCTTGGGTACCACCCGTCCTGACACACTGCAGAAGAGACCTGGCCAGGGTGGCCGAGCTGGTGCGGCAGCAGAAGAGGCTCATCCGTGTCCACTCAGCAGCGTGGGGGCCTCCTTCAGGCTTCGAAGCTGGTGAAGCTAACGCAGCTTACAAATGACAACCATGGTGATGCAGTCAAATAACAACACGATGGCAGTAAAACCGCAACTGCTCTCTTTCAAAACACAAAACCCCCAAAGACGCCCTGGTCCTCATATCTTGAACGGCTGTAAAAGGCTTCTCTCCCAACCCTCTGTCATCTTTCTGAGCTGCCTGTTCCCTCCAAATGAGTCATCCCTGTAGGAATGTTAATGTATTTGACATGTGTCAACATCACCCTGAAGAAAAGAGACGCTGGATGGTTTTGCTGGCGCACACAGCACGAAGAACCGACGGCGCACGTGTTGGTTTCGGCCTGACACTCACACGGCATCTTCGAATCTCGCTGCTCGTGGAGCCTGACGCCAGTCCGGTGAGGAAGTCTTGCTCGCCACCTCTGTTCCTGCCACTCTTCTTTTTAGTGAAAAAGGTGCTCTTGAGAGGGTTGGCCTGCCTTCTTTTTTGAATCAGAAATTTGCACAGAGACTGCAGTACATGCAGATACTGGCAGTGATGAAAGCGAAGGATGCAGAATAACGTGCAGAACTGGGAGCACAGAGATGACACACAGAAATGTCTGAAAATGTACGTGTTGACACTGTGGCTTTCAGGTTTTTCTGCTTGCTCCTCTGTGACAAGGATAAAAATGACATAGACTGAGCCCAGCCATGTGTGTGGACTGCTTATATCCTAATTGTCTATGAAATCCACTCCCTGGGGACACTGGCCCCTGAAAACCTTATTTCCCAGATTCCCCTGGGACACTGGCTTCCGGCTGGTTTTGGTCGTGGGAGGCACTGGGTGGAGTCTGGAAGGCGGGAGGGAAAGAGTAGCCAGGGTGTTTCTTCCCCTCTCTGTGCGGGGCTCCGCGTCTCCGGCAATGCCTGCTTCTCTTCCCCGGTTCCAGATCCACGGGGGAAGCCGCCACCGTCCCAGCTGCTGTCACACAGCTTTGGCTCATGCTTTGTCATACGACGTCCCGTATTGAATTCTTGCTCTTGAGCCCTTGACTTTGACCGGAAGGTGGCTGATCCAGAACATTCTGAAGGGTAACATGAATGTAGGACTGAAATTTCAGTGTGCTGTGGTCTGACTTGGGCCAGTTCATTTCCTGCTGGCCCCAAGGACATTCCGAAAATTACATGGATGCCCAGATATCATGCCGCTCAAACTTTCAGGGTACGCAGTTTTCTCACAGTGCCTGTGGCGTATGCATGTAATGATTCTCCATACGAACAAAAAATAAATAAGACCCAGAGGGACTGACAGTCTGGAGGTTGGGGTTAGTTCAGAAGAAGGTTCCAAGATGCTTCTGAACTTGGGTGTGGAGAAGCCTGTCAAAATCAAAGAAGATGGCAAATCGTGGGAGATTAATTGGCTCATTTCTCAGATGGTCCCACGCGCTCTGTCCAGCTGGGACATTTTGTGTCTCCTTTCACAAGACAGGCTCTGTTTCACTCCCGATTCACATGGGACCTTGGCAAGATTCTTGGATTAGGTGTTCCCTTGTTCCTTAGACCTGTCATGTTTGACAGAGAATCTGGTCCCAGCCTGGAGGCCTTCACTAAGGGGAAGGTGAGGCCCGGCTTTCCTGGAACTTCAAGACAAGCTGTACCAAGGGAGAAACAGCTCCCAGGCTGACACGACTGTGGACCCCGGTGTGATCAGGCTGTGTGACCTCACACGCACGGTCTGTGGCTCTCGGAGGTGTGGTCGAGTCAAACCACACAGACGCCCGATGGTGAAGCCCTGAGTTTCTCAGGCGCTAACAGGAGCAGAGTCACAACAAGGCCCACTAAAACTTGGCCAAGAAAATTAGCGCTGGGCGTATCTTGTAAAACATTTAAGTTCAGGCTCATTTCAATTAAGCCTCTCGGAACCTCAGGTGTTTGTCCAAAGCTTACCTGAGCCTGAACTCCTGGAATCAATGGAGTCTGCTGAGACCTGCAAGAACATGCTTTCCCATGAGACATCTGGCAGTGAGAACCCCCCATCTCCACCCCAGTCTACGAAGATCCCATCTGAGGATGAATATAACTGGGTTCCTAAACATTTCTGAAAGTTTGGATTTCAGTTGAACCAGACATGTCAGGTGTCTGCTTCTGGCGAGGGTAGCAGGTAGAGGAGACCTCAAAAATTATCTTTCTGTCCCAGGTGAAGATGCCCCATAACATGGGATCACAATCTCTCCATAAGACAAATACCCAGGGCAGGGCATAACACAAGACGGGGTTCTTTCTTTGCTACTCTGGGTTGAAAGCTGAGGGCTGGACTGAATCAGATTCAGGGGTCCGTTCAGGCCAGTCGACTTGGCTTCCTCTCACATCCTGCAGTCATTAAAAGCCTTTCTCTAGTACATTTAATAACAAGGACAATGACAGGAATAACAGACGCGAATGGAACTTGTACTGTGTACCGGCACCGTGCTGAGCATTCTGTAAGAGACTCTCTCATTTCTTCCTCATGGCGACTCTACACACTGGGTGCTGATTATCTACACTGTAAAGATGAGAGAAACCAGCTGGGGGAGGCTACGCTCCTTGTCTCAATTCACTGTGAACTGAACTTGGGTCTCTTCAGTTATCGAGCCCAAGCTTCTAAGCATTTTGCTGGATCAATCTTCACGGAGATACTTTTCATAAGCCAGAACAAAGTCATCATCCAAACAAATGGATCGGCTTCTGTTCATCAGAAAATGGGCATGAAAATGCTTCGGGAGAGGCAAAGCCTCACACAGAGGTTAAGAATTAATTAATACTAAGAAAGAAATTCTATTGTGCGGGAGGAACGGCGGCAAAGGGAAAGTGGGGAAGATATTGATTGCGAAATTAAAAGAACCGTTATCTTGGAGACATATCAATGCCATGATTATGAATTTGTGAAACTTAAATATTAAAGGACCGGAAGGGAGAAATATGGAGAAAGGGAGGAAAGATTAATTTGTGGGGAGGTGTGAAACAGGGCTAGATCTGTTCTTTCTTTGATTTAGATTTCCATTCAATCATTTGCACACATTAAAAAGGCAGACAGAGACCGTACAAATCCACATCAAGACGCGGGCATTCGGGACTGTCGTGTGGTTAACCACAGCCCTGCGAGACACAGCCTTGGCATGTCAAGGCTCTGTTCCTGAGCAGGATCTGGAGGGAGCTTAGACACTACATGGCAAATGTCTGTATTCTTCACAAGGCCACACTCTGAGACCTTGCCCTCATGAGAAGGAAAATTCTGGATTGGAAGAAGAAAAAGGAAGCAAATTTTGTGCCTTGACTTAAAAAAAGCCTACAGGTCTTTCAACTCGTTCTTAGGAACATGGGTTGCAATGATCTCACATTTGAATGTACACAAGAATCACTGGGTGACCTTTAAGACTGGAGACGCTCAGATCCATTCTTGGACGTTATGACTCAGAGGTCCCCTGAGGCCAGGGAATCTGGATGGTCAACCTGTGCCCTATTTTAACAAACTCTTCAGGGGGCTGGGATGTCAGTGGCCTCCGGACCACAGTGGGACAGAGGAATTCACAGCTCAAAGGAGAGGATTCTCTGCCCTGATTTTCACAAATGTGGAAACTGGTATTTGTTATACGTAGGTATTACCGAGTTCATTCCTAGAAAGCCAGATTTTCGTGATGGTGGATGGTGTGAATTTGGGGAAAGCCGTATGCTTAGCACTATGTGAGACCTTTTAGTTACAATCTCATTTCATACATAAAATAACCGTGTGAGTATTGTTTTGCAGGTACAGGAACTTAAAGATTAGGAAGCTTTCAGTATCCTGAGTGAGGTCATACAGCTAAGAAGTGACGGAACCCGGATTCTAAATCAACATTTATTTATTTAGACCCTCTCAGGAGGCCACGTGCCTTCTAAATTTCTTTCTTCAGGTGAAGTGTATCATTATTTACTGTGATTAAAGCAACAGTTATCCAGGGGGAAAGTTGGACACTATGAATGGAATGACCAAATTCACACAGCCAATGCCTGCCTTTAGTGCATACCAGCCTGACTCAGGGAATTTCAACCTGGAGGCCTAAGTCTTTTCTTAACAGAGTCCCATGGTTCAAAGTATCTACTCTAGGGTCATCAAAATAAACTTTCTATTTCCTCTCACTCCCCTTCCCCATTTGAGACTCAACCGGTGACATCCCGTGATCACCGCCATGACAGGAGAAGCTTAATACATCCTGTACCCTGGCTTGATTTTGTCGTGGTCGTGAAAATGGGGTGGGGGGAGCAAAACCTTCTCTACAATGACAGCTTTTCTTTATATGTTAATAATATTCAATTTTTATGATTATAAAAGGAGCATTTCAATTTCTTCTGTGACTATTGATTGAATCCTATCTAAGGCTATGTGCCAGGCAGGGAAGGGATTTAGATTTCTGAACAAGACAAAGTCCTTGCCCTTGGAAAGCTTATATTCTAGAGGACAGAGCAACAGTGACACACAGTGCAATAAGCAACTAGACATGTAGGATGTCAGACAGTGAACCCTGGTGTGGAGAAGAAAAAAAACAGGGTAAGAAAGGTAAGAACGGAAGGGTAATCTATATATTAGAGACGCAAATTCATACGCAGTAATACATATTAATGTGCAGATACTTTGGAAAACTCTGAATACTGTGAAAAGAATATAAGATATCACCCATAATCCTTCTACATAGAGATCACCACTGTTACCAGTTCGGCCTGTTTTCTTTTGGACCGTTTTCTCTACTGAATTGCGATCACCTATCTGCTTTCTTAGTGTGACCTGTTTTTTTTTTTTCCCACTTAACATGCCACCAGCACTCTCCCATGTCATTAACGCGACTTCACACTTGAAGGTTTGCTAAGTGCCCCTGCGCAAATGCACTGCAATTGATTTAGCTATTTCCTCCATCGTTGGTCATTTAGATTATTTCCCACTTTTCCCCAGGACAGACGTCACACTGGTACTTTAACTATAAATCGTTGTGTGGATATCTACATATTTTTTTTTTAGAATAAATTTGTGTGTTTTGAGTCCGGTTTCTAAGGCTCTTGATGGATGTTGCCAAATGAACCCCAGAAGCAGAAGGAGTGAAGGCTGGCCATCTTGCCACACGGGGTGTAGCAAAGCCTTTCCCAATATCTCTAAAGATTTCTGTTTGGGGCTTGTTTTTGATTTGTCCCAATCTTGAGGGTCCAGTTCGCCCGGGGTCTGAGGATACAATTCATAGGTGCCAGTCCCCAGTATCACACTCCAGAAGGACCCTTCCCCTCTGCACAGTGGAGGAGAACGCTTCTGACCACATGGGTACCTTCCCCAGAATCTGAAGAGGTGACCTTCATCCTTTCCTCTAACCTTTGCCTGAGTGAATCAATCCATTCCTGGCCTCTCAGGGCCCCTCCAGGATGCTGTAATCACAGCACTAACCTGTGTTCACATTTCCCTTGATCGAGCAGAAATCCCCCTGTGCACAGACAACTGCTTCCTAATGGCCCTGGCTCCCAACTTCTAATGGCCCTGTCCTCATTTCTCCCAAGAGCCAGCTCTTTTTGTCAGTGTTTTAAGACTCCTGGTCCAGACAAAATTTCCCCCATGATGTCCATCTGGCCAAATTGAAGGTGATGCAGACAGTGAGACAGGGAGACGGGTGTGTCTGCGTCAATAGGACAGAGGAACCTCCGAGGCTATCCATCTTCTGTCTCCTCCGGTGACATCCAGCCGCCCCCTCCTTGTCTGCAATGTGAGGATGAGAGACGACATCCCTAAATGCTGGTGCCTCACCACAGAGACGGAGTGGATGCGGGTACTCGGGGCACAGCCTCCCTTCCAGCCCTGATAGTGCAAGAAGATGCTGCTTCTGCCCTTGTGGGTGAAACCCCTTCAGAAGGCGGGCATCTCCCCCTCTGCAGTTCACCACAGGTGAGATGTACCCTTCGGGGGAAATGTCAGACAGGGCAACAAAGACTCTCTAGATGCTGATCCTTCCCGGAGTCTGAGCGGTCTGTGCTGTGCCTGAAGGAGGCCTTTACCCAGTCCTGACCTCAACTGCACCCTCCTCAAAATGGATAAAATGCTGTGCTGACGTAGAGAATCATGAGCAGGAGTGATTACAAAGCATGCTGCAAGCACAAAAGTAACGATTGTTTTAAAAGGAAAATATTAAAAGCACCGGACAATGCCGGCATCTCCTTTTTTTTTTTTTTTCCAGTTCCGACGAAGCCACCTGGGGATCACATTTTCCATTTCTCCCTTCCTGGATCAAGGGGAGAGATTATTCATGTGCTTCCAAAGCCAACTGCCAACTACATGGGTTTGAGGCCAGGCACCCATGTCTGGGAAGAGAGAGGTGGGAGAGAAAAAGATAAAAAGAAAAGAAAAAAATAGTTCTTCGGTTGCAAATGCAAGGAGTTAGCTCTGAACTTGGACTGAATTTTTAACCAGTAATTAAATTATTAAAACGGAGAAGCATCTTCTTTCCAAATCCCCCAAGGATTCCCAGGGAGCAGACTGGAGCCTCTCCGAGTGACAAGGGCCCAGCCAGCAGAAGGATGTTCCCCGCAGGCACAGGTGTGCCACACTGCCTCCTGTTGCTCCTGTGGGCCTTCCCTCGGGTGCTTCTAGAATTCCTGCCTCACTCAGGTTTGAGGAAGAAGTCATTTACTGGCTCCACAGATACAACCGGGGCTCCCCCTTGGTTCCTGGGATTCCGCTGGGACAGCGGTTCAGAAGTGAGCAAGCTAGAGAAAGTTCCTCCCTCCACGGAGCTTTCATTTCAGTGGAGTGAAGGCAGATCAGCAACTGGAGGAGAAGGCAACAAACACAGTCATCTCAGGGCATGTGCGGCGCTGGTGGGAAATTAAAAAAGCAGGTGATTGAAGGTTAGCGGTGTCAGCAGCTGCTGTTGGAGAGGGGCGCCCACCCCTCCATCTCCTAGTCCATTCTCAGGAGCCAGATGGAGTTTTCTGAAGGGGAAATTTGATCCCGTATAATCAAGGGAATTTGACATTTCATTCCTGGTCCTTTAAACGTTGTCTTTTTCCCTCTACTGGACTGTAAATGTCCTGAAGGCAGGCTGCTTTGTTAGCTTCACCCTCGCAGTGTGGTACATAGTAGCAGCTCAGTAAATATGTGTTGGATGGATTGACGAGTGGATGGATGGATGGATGAATCAAGAAAGGCTCTGTGTGAGGAGGTTGCTGTGATTGACACTTAGGAGAGGTACAAGCTACTTGGTATCCATCAGGGAGGTACCCGACTGGAGAGGCAAAGTATGTGGTGCCCGTGGACTTGGGAAACTGGCTCCAGGTATCTGAAGTTAGCAACTCTATGGGTCCTTTGCCACCAACCCAGGCAGAAATTCTGGAAAGGTGGCCTCTGAGTCTCACTTTGGTGGTATTAAGTCTAGAAGGGTTTCCACTGGAAGACCACTGAGAAGTATTTGACTCATTTACCTAACATTATAATTTAAACTCCTAAGAAGGTAGGAGAGATTGCACAGAGTGATGGGCGTGGACCCCCTCAAGGGCTCTTAGACACCTAGTGTATGATCTCTACGAAAGTATTCTGGGTTCTTCCTTTATTTGCGGGGCTGGTATCATCTCCAAGCAAGGAGCTCGCTGTTAGCACTTCTGCTTCTGTTTCTGCCCACCAACTTGGTTTAAACATTTAATGAATATTTTTGCTAAAAAGGTGATTTTGTTTGTTTGTTTGGCCAACTGGAAGTCTTGAGGCTGAAAGTTTTTTCTGAATTATCAAAGATCTGAAAGTCAACCTGGCTTCATCAAAAAGGCAGTGAATTCCCTATCAGAGGAAAGACTGGTTGAGGCTGGGTATGTCAGGGTGCTACCCACGCTCCCCCACCATCTGAAAGGAGAGCGTTCCTGTGAAAAACGTCGTAAGCCGAAATGACATAAAGTGAAGAAGCAATTACCTTTCTTCCTAACAGCGAAAATCCTCTTCAGATTTCTTCCAGTTAGTGAAAACGGGTCCTGGTGGAGGTCATCGTAGAAGTGAAGTGGCATAAAATGAACTTTCCAAAGGTACAGGATCTCTGTAGACCAAACACTGGATAAGAATTGGAAAAAGAAATGTCGCTCTGAAATATTGTCCAAACCCGGCCTTCTGTGAGCCGGCCACATGAAACACTCATTCTATGGCTGTGAAAGAGGACTTTCTTCTGTTCTGCATCCATGCCACACACTGGGAGTCAGCTCCAAGGGTTTCCTGGGCCTTGTTCTTCTCATCTGTAAAAAGGGGCTGAAAAGTTCTAGCTCCCAGTGTGGCCGTAGGGGTCCCGAGCGGGGTCATATTTAGGAAATACCTGGGTCCTACTCAGCACTTCATAAACTGTGGAGGCATTTCAGTCTGAACTCTTTCAGTTCAGGGGCACTGAAAGTTTGACACTTCTTAATAATATTTACTACGCTGGGCCAAGGCAGAAATCGGTAGGACTCCAGAGTTCCTACTCTTTGATTATGGCTGCAGTGGAAGATGGGTTGATTTTATCCCTTTGCTGACTTGTACACCCACCTAGCAAGACCAGGCCTAAACGTGCAGTTCCAGTTTCTTGTCTTAGACCAATATGCTTAGAGAAGCTAACCTTCACCAGTCTCAGTACAATGCAGTTCCTCATCTGTGGGAAGCAGACTGGACTGCAGGGAGCTCTGCTAAAGGTTCTCAGTGGACACGTGGATATGAGACCCAACAGAGGGCATCTGCCCATGCTGGTTCTTCGTGTCCACCTTCACCCCCCGCTTCTACACTATGTCTGTCCATCAACCTCAGGCTCAAACATCACTTCTTCTGTGAAGCCTGTCTTGATTGCTCTAAATGACATTAAGTTCCTGCATACTCTGTGATGGTGTCATGTACATATGTCTCCCTTGTAATGTGGATAACAGTGGACGTTTGGGGGTGTGATGGGGTTTGGGTAATAATGTTTCTCTCACTTGACTGCAGGCATGGAGGTGGGAGTCCCCAGGGCCCACCACAGAGGCAGAGCCCCCTCCAGGGAAACGCGTGTGGAAGGGGAAGGGACATCTGCGTGGCTCTCGGCTAGAAAGAACACTGAGAGAGGCAGAGACACAGCTGTGTGCGGGGAGGTGTCTCACTGTGCTGCAGGGCTTGGGAGGGAGCAGAGGTTGCATCAGGAGGGATTTAGGTTAGTGTTCAGGGAGAGAGCTGCTCTGCAAACACTCTTTCAGATTCAGGGCTGCCTGAAGAGTGGCAGTGGGATACCAGGGACAACAGTCAGCAACGGTATCAGCCTCGACAAACACAGTCATTTGCTTTGCTCCATTCCCGATTTTTCTTTTCCATAGGTTTTAAAGGAAAGTTTTAGAAGATAAACTTTATGGCGCAAGATTACAAGCAGGGTTTTGGCTAGGCTCCTTAAGCCAGGGGGATTTAAGGAAGGAGACAGTACTATCTTTCTGGGACCGAGGGAGTCTCCGGGGATGGGTGGAGCTGGAAAGGCTCCCACCAGCTGGGTAACACGGGGTATGGAAGTTCAAACGCATCTCCTTTGAACACGCTGATCACCCACTGTGGACCGGGTGCCCCTGAGGAAACACAACTGTCACCCAGATTTGGGTGACGTGGCGATGAATGTGTTAAATCATCAGAAAAGAAACACCCCTCAGCTTCTGCTGTGTTAGGGAAGGAGGCAAGCAGGGCCAGGTCCTCTAGGCTGGCTGGGGCCTTTCTGCTGAGCCTGTTAAGCAACAAGACAGAATGCAGACACGCTTCCCTGTGGTGCCAGGCTCAGAGCAAGGGCTAGGGTGGCAAGCAGCCCTCTGCCAGGTAGAAACCAGCCTTGCCAGCAGACGCTCCTCCACCCGTCAGTCCTGCTCCCTGCTCGGGGGCCACTTCCCAGGCAGTTTCTAAACAAAAAGTAGGATGGATTTCATTTCTCACTGACTTTTTTTTTTCCACCTGCATTCTCAGTCCCAACATTCTGCTGTTGTTTTAAACCCATCATTTATAGCACTCTTGGAGAGCAAAGCAGCTAGGCAGGGAGCAAGGAGAGGAGGGGAAATCTACACTCCAGCCTGGGGTCCGCAGTCACTGTGTGACTGCGTGACCTTGGCCAGGTGCACTGCCTCTGTGTTCAGCGTCCTCACCTGCAGTAAGCCGGGTTCATTCTGCCTGCCATATTGACCATGCCAACGGTACAAGCCTTAACAAGGAGAGTTGGAAGGAAGCACCTTGAAAAAAAGAAAAAGGGAAACTTGGTAGGAAAAAAGAGACACACTGTTATTTGTTACATAGGCTGAACTGGATAGTTTTACAAAATTAGGAAATAGTGACTCTCAGCCTGCAGCTAGGTAAGTGTGCAGTCTGGGACTAGAGCAGTGCTACCACAGACTTGCTCTACTGGGGTGGGGGTGGACTTGACTGAGCCTGACTGAGACACACAGTGGATGGGGGACCGAGGAACCCCCAGACCTCTGCGGCACTCTGAGAGTTGTGCAACAAGGCAGGGAAGTGGGTAGAACCGAGCATTCCGGAGCCGCACGTACTCAGGTTCGAGCCCTGATTCTGCCTGGCAACCTGAAGCAAAGTTCTCCACGACTCTGTGCCTCAATTTACCCACCTCTAAAAGCTTTAAATAGGATGAAGCATGGCAACTGCTTCAAAGCAAAAGCGGTGTCTGATACAGAGTGATTCAATTGCTCAGTTCAGCGTTTGGCACATCAAATTATACTATTTTTATTATATTATTGATATTTCAATCCACAGCACTCCAGGCTGCACATGCCTCAGTTCTCTCTCCCTCTCTAGCCCCGCTTTGCAGCAGTGCTAAATGCTCTGCCACCAGTGTCAATATGGGGGTGGGGTGGGGAGGAGGGGATTGACCTTTTGGAAGCGACCCAGAGGCCAGTTAGAGACAAGGGCTTTAGGAGGGAGGAGAGAGAAGCTGCCGGTGCTCTAGCCAAAGTTCACCGAGTTGATAAAGTTATTAAAACATAAACAACACTCAGGCTCCAGGAAGGAAAAATAAATAAATAAATACAATAAAACAGTCGGTGCGTCCAGCCCTCTCCCCGCAGGCTGTGCAAAGGCAGGAGGGCCAGGCAGCCGGGAGAGGAGGAACGAGTCGGACAGGTGAACCAGCCTCCCGGGGCGCGGCGCAGGGAGGCGTCCGCCCCGCCCAGGCTCGCCCTCCCCGCCTCCTCCTTCTTTAAAAAAAAAAAAAAAAAAGACCCCGGGGCAGAGGCCTGCGCTCCAGCCTCCTCCCCCGGGCTCCCGTGGCCCGACCCGGGAAAGGCGGAGCCAGAACCCCCTCGCGCGCCATTGGTCCATCCGCGTAGCAACAGCCGCGCGCGGACCAATGGGAGCCGCGGAGCCGCCGGCCGCGCTCAAGAAACCTGGCTGCCAGAGAGTTCCCGGTCCCTGCCAAGAAAACAAACCAGGCACTCTCCCGAGTCCAGTGCTAACTTTTCCTTCTTTCTCCCCTCCTCCCTTCCCCTTTCCCCTTGCCGCTTGTCTTCACTCTTAGTTTGATGCTTGTTTGAGACCCCAAACTCCGATGCCTTTTCGAAGGTCATCCCTTCCCACCCCAAGGGAGAAACCTCATTAGAAGTAAAAGAAAGGACAGATTGAAAACGATATGTCATGCTTTCCAGTCCCACTCGGTCGTCACCACCAAAGACCCCGAGCAAACCTCCATTACAATAGCTCCACTTTTAATGGTGTGGTTTTTCTTTGAACAGATCTGCGAGATCTAAGCCCAAAGGAAGGGCCCTCTGAACACCTATTGTGTGCCGGGCTTTGTCCTTGGGGTTTCATATGTCTTGCAGCATTTAATCCTCCTTGTAATTCTGGAAAATGAGTCGCCCTGTCTCCACTTAATAGATGGGAAGTTGAAGTACAAAATGAGGAACGGAAGTGTCTAAGAAGATTCCATTGGTATGTGGTCTAGCAGGATTCAAACCCGGGCCAGCCTCGTTCCAAAGGCCTCTCTGTTTCTGTGATGTCACACACCTCTCTAGGAGCATATTTCACATTTTGGCGTACGATATCCTAAAGAAATGGGGGCAAGGTGTAAGAATCTGACCCAGACTCACAGTTTGTTATCAAGCCAGGGATGGCTTCTCCGGTATGTGACCAGCACAATCGCAAGGGGTCTTAGCAACGGGAAGGTCTCACCTCACTCCTGGTTTCGTGCTCTGCTGTTGCTGTTTCGAAATTCTTACGTTCTGAAGGATGATGGGCCTTGTGCTTCCATTCTGCACTGGTCCTGCGAATTAGGGTAGTCAGCCCTGCATCCAGGGATAAGAAACTTCTAGGTTCTGTGAAGACAGCTTATTTCAGGGTCCCAGAGGGATCTCACATTTTGGGAATTTAGACCTCAAGTGAAAGAGGGGGCTTCTAAGTCTCTCTCTCTGTCTCACACACACACGCAACTTAGACTTCTGCACACACCCTGCAGATTAGTCAGTTTTATTACACTGTAACTGTAATTTGAATCCCCAGTCTATTAAATGGGAGTGTATATATTTATGGCCGTGTTTATGTGTGTGTGCGTGCGCCCGCGTGCGCTAGCCGGGAGAGGGAATGGGGGACTGGGGAATTTACGACACACAGACACAGCCCTGATTATTGACTCTATTCTCTCCCTTTGGAGACATTACAAGGGATTTGAACCAGGCCCTGTTTTTATGAAATACATACTTGGGAGGCTTTGGCGAGGCCGTAAACGCTGGTCTGTGTGAGACTGAGCTTGGGGGGGTGCCAGGTCCTCTGGGAGGAGACAGGCCTTGAATACACTCTCCCCTGGGCCTGGCAAAAAAACCACACAGTCTTGCATCTGTTTTACCCCCAAATCCAAGTCTTCTTTCCTGGCAAAGAGAGGCCTGGTTTTCATTCTCTGGATTGTGCTGATTTTACTCTCCGAGCTCAGAGATTATCGGTGAGTCACGCCAATGGTGTGAAAGTCTGCAATAAGCAAGAAGAAAGTCTGGAGGTATCCTAGACACTTATTTTGCAAACCAAGATGTAAACTGTGCACAGGAGGGCTCGTAAGGGACTCTGAGGCGGCCGGTAACTTTGGAGCCCTTTATTTTGTAATTGAAGAAATCGAGGCCCAGGGAAGTAAGCCCAGCTCTGCAGGCAAAGCAGCTGGGTGGTAGAGGTCTTCGGGTTAGAGGCCACGTCTCCCGACTTCCATTCCAGGCTCCGTCCTTGCTTTCATCTCTGTGTGAGCAGCACAATGCCATAAAGCATGACATAATCAGTTCATGTGGGGAGAGGTTAATTTAATGAATAGCAACACGGGGTCAAAGGGGAGGGTAACTAACATTTATTAGTACTTGGAACTTGCCCCTGCTTTGCCTACATGATCTCATTTAATTGAATCTTCAGGACAACATTGAGAGAACATAGGCAATATTATTTTTATTTAACAGACGGGAAAAGTGAGGCACAGAGTCGTGGTAAAAAATGTCTAGGGTTTCACACCTTGTAAATGGATTAGCCGAGATATGAACTCAGTTCTTCTTAATCCCTGCATAGCAGAATTAAATTATTCAGATCATTATGGCTCCACAGTGGTTCATTTTAATGACAATATAAATTAAAAATGAGTCTATACCTGCCAAACAGAAGTTGTCTATTGCAGTCATCATAAACTCACTTTGGATTATTAATTACTCTTAATTCAGTTTTGTCTCAGTTTTTGGTGGGCTTTCTGGTGGTAATGTGCCCCTTCACTCTGAAACTACAGACCCACTAAAAATCTCAGTGTAGCCAAAATGTAAGTCTAGTTATGATGTGCTTGGCATTCCAGAAATATACATATATATTAGCAAATGGCTTCACTGGTTAAACCATTTGGTTCTAGGTGAAACTGGCTAATATTGGCAACCATCGTAATGATCAAGGCTTCCCCCAGGTTTCTGATCACCAAGTAACAATGACTCAGTGGATACAAAACTTACAACTAAGAAAACAATACACATGCGACCTGGTAAACATATACCAATAGATCCAGAGGGCCCCCCAGAAGATATATCTGATTCCTACCCCCAGGACCTGTGACGGTGACTTTATTTGGAAAAAAGAGTCTTTGAGTATCTCCAGATGAGATGATCCTGGATTTAGGGTAGACCCTAAAGTCAATGATAGCTGTCCTTATAAGGGGCGAGGACACACAGGGTGAAGCGGGAGATGTGAAGATGGAAGCAGAGATCGGGGTGATGCACCTATAAACCAAGGGGCACCAGGAGTGCGGGCAGCACCAGAGGTTAGGAGGGAGGCAGGAACAGATCCTCCCTCAGGGTCCGCCAGAAGCAGCAACCCCTGCCCACACCTCCATTTCAGACTGCTGGTCTCCAGAATTGTGAAAGAATATATTTCTGTTGTTTTAGGCCAATTCATTTCCAGCCATGTGTTATGGAAGACGTAACTAAGAAACCAATACAAGGACTACATTATTTCACCGTATTTTTAAAAAGGAAAGAAACACAAGCATTAAAAGAGCATTAACAGAATTCCAAGCTGAAACCGTCTGCCTACAAATGTATTGGGAGAAATGATAAAAATGAGATTTGTGTGTCCATATATCAACAAATAGTTTGTGAGGTTCAATCAATCCATACTTATATGCATATAATAGTATATACACAATTTATATATAATTCAGAAAGATAATATGTGTATATAATTCAGAAAGATTGTCTGAATTGGATGAGCTGTTTGATGAACTGGTCATTGAAGTGACTTGTTGATCTGGTCTATGTCCTGTATGTGTCTAAGAAGAGAAGGGGATGCTTGCTAGATATTTAAAATCTTTGTGTAAAGGGGGTCACACTTCCACCCTGGGTATAGAAAGCTGGACAGATTATTACTCCCACCTTAACAACGTGAAAAATCCTGATGATTAACTTTTCTTGAATCCATGGGACAGCTGAAGTTACAGGGCAACCAAGTAGCCCAATTTCTAGGTAAAGAGAGGCTTCTCCAAGGGGAATTCAGATGAGAGCACAGTTTCCCACATGGCAAGAAGAAACAACACCAGAAATGATCTTAAATTTTTGAATAAATTGCTAAAGATTGAATATAGCCTAGCATGAGAGTCTGGGACCACTAGGAGTCATAGACACAATGGGAGCTGTCACTCACTCGCAGGATTTTCAGCTTGGTCCTCTAGTGGATGCCGACGACAAGTGAGGTTGGAGGCAAGCTGTAGACCAGCGTGAGCCTCTTTTGGTGGGTGGTGCAGGCCTGGAGGAGTCTCGCCACGCCACCTTGGGGAGGCAGGAATCCGCATCTGAATGAACTCTTTCCCTACAGAACAAAATCCTGAAGGGAGCTGAAGTGCAGCAAACCCAGGGCATCAGTAAAGACGCATTAAGGCTGGGGGGAAGGATAAAAGATAAAACCCCTCTGTATCTGGAAAGAGTTCATTTGCCAATAGAGATCTGCTGCTGGGGGCGGGGCAGAAAGCTGCTCTCCCACACGACCCACCACAGACACAAGGCAGAGGGTGGCTGCTTGGGAGGAGCGGCGCGGAACATCCAGAAAACCCACCGCTGAGACCCAGGTACACAGGCCTACCCTGGAGAAGAAGTGGAAGTTTATCATTGTAAGGTTCTTCCATTACACACTTAGGGTTAAAAAGTTCTTTGTAAGTTGACAATGATTTAAAGAGGTAGACAGTAAACCCTAGGACAGCTACTAAAAATAGCTAAAGAAATAGGTATAAATAGTAAGTCAATAGTGAGGATAGTCATTCCAACAAATGGTAATTGGACATCCATATGCCAAATAAATGAACATTGGTCTATGTCTTGCACCATATACAAAAATTAACTCCAAATAGATCATAGACTTACATATAAGACATCAGAAGAAAAGACAGGAGAAAACCTTGGGATTGGAGAAAATCTTGGTTTGGGCAAAGATTTCCTTGATACAATACAACAAATACAATCCATTTTAAAAAAGATTGGTAAGTTGGACCTCATCAACATTAAAAATTTCTACCCTTTAGGCGATACTGCTAAAATGAATAAGCCAGCCAAACTCTGTAAGAAAATATTTGCAAAATAAATATTTGATGAAGGATTTCTATAGAGAACCTATAAAGAACCCTCAAAACTCAATAATAAGAAAACAATCTAATAAAAAAAATGGGCAAAATATTTTAATAGATACTTCACCAAGGAAGATAGAGATGATAAATAAACACAAAAAAATGCTTAACGTCCTTAGTCATTAGGGAAATCCAAGTTAAAACCACAATGAGACATCACTATTTACCATTAGAATGGCTGAAATAATTTTAAAAAATCAAAATGGCAACACCAATCGTGGACAAGAATGACAACAACAGGAACCCTCATACGTTGCTGGTGGGAATGTGAAATGGGATAGCAATTTTGGAAAGTAGTTTGACCCTTTTTATAAATTTAAACATGTGTATTAAACTTACATATTGCCCATCCCTGGCTATTTACCCAAAGGGAATGAAAATATACTTTCACTTGAATACAAATGTTCACAGTGGACTTAATGAAAAACCAGAAAAAAACAAAATACTCTAATGTCATTCAACTGGTGGGTGG